AATCCATATATATATATATATATACAATATCCGCTAAAAAAAATATGGGATCATGGATGCACATCTCAGGTAGATATTCTCATGCACAGTATGTCTTCTAACTTGTATCTGTATATAGAGTGGGGAGAGTTTCTGCATCAACCGGGACGCAAATACACAGATTTCGAAGAAATCATGAAAGAGATTGAAGCCGAGACAGACCGCATGACAGGGTCTAACAAGGGTATCTCGAACATCCCCATCAATCTCAAGGTCATGTCACCCCATGGTACGTCCACTCCTCTGGCAGGGTTACAGAGACCTGTGTGTATATTTATATTCATCTGAATACTTCCTCAGATAAATCCACACTCTGGCAGGGTTACAAAGACGCGTGTGTGTATTTATATTCATCCGAATACTTCTTTGGGTTGTCAATCTCTGTGCCCCAAGTGATAAAGCGGTATATGAGCAATCGTATGATATTACCCAGAACGTGTGCTGATCTTCCGGATTGGTTTCTCATGTCAGTGTGTGCGTGTGTAGCCTCAGTCCACGGCTGTTTAGTCTCAGCTACGACGCTGGTCGATCTCTGGTCCATTTGGCATTTGTTCATTCCATCAGTTGAATGTCCTCCCATTGGCCTTATTCCCACCCCTTGCCCGTGGTCTCTGGTTCGTGCGGGATTGATTCATTTGTCCATGCCTCGGCTTTAGTCCCGATTGTTGCGCTGTCAGTCAAGTCTCTGATGATTGGGTCGGTCATTTACCCGTCGTATTGCTGATACGCCTATTGAACCCCTTCAGTATTGGATTTGACCCTGGTTGATTTGCCTGGACTGACCAAGGTGGCTGTGGGCGATCAGCCTGCGGATATCGAGCAGCAGATCCTGGGCATGATTATGGAGTTCATCACAAGGTATGTTTCTGGTTGTGTTCACCTGTAGCAGGGTGTAGTGCCTATGGTGTCTAGTATGCGTTGTGCATGAGGGGTACGGTATATCTGTGTGCTTTTGTGTGTACGCGTGTACCCATTTTACGCTTTGTTTTCTTATACTGGGGTGTAGTATATGTTTTTGCGTGAGATGGATGACGGGTCGTAGTATACATTGACCTGCAATGCCTTCTCTTGTCTTATCCACTTCTTATTCATTCCCTAAACCCCTAAACGCTTAAACGCTTAAACCCCTAAAATCCTAAACCGTAAAACGTATCTGCTAAATCCTTAAATTTGATCGCGATATGGATTTACAGGCCGAATTGTCTCATTTTGGCCGTGTCGCCTGCAAATGCCGATTTAGCCAATTCCGATGCCCTCAAACTAGCGAAAGAAGTGGATCCACAAGGTAACTGGATTAGGCACCTATTCCCAATTCGGGTCTTGACAGAAAGAACTATCGCTATGTTATAGACTCACTTAATCTAGCTATTGCCATGCCAAAAAACTGGATAGTGTTATTCGTACCATTCCCGATTTTTAGTTTTGTATAGAAACGAGGAGATGTATTTGTTATGCGTTCAAGTGTCCTCTGTATACCTCAGAGTGTCAAAATTGGAGCGATTTGGATGTCTACATTTGTTTTCCGCTCGTCGGAAGTGTGATCAGTGAACCACATTTGTGTCTAGAATTAGTCATGACAGACATACTCTCAGGTAGCTTAGCATAAAAGCCTTAATCAGTGAACTACAGATGTGTCTATATATGTTGACAATATAAATACCCTACTCTTCGAAGCAACGGAACTTTCACAGCAGTTGCGAAGTGAAATTGTGTATCCTGATGCATTTATAAATTTAAACCCCTGAAACCCTAAAACCCTGATGTCACCTATTCACCTAGGACTACGAACGATTGGAGTGATTACGAAGTTGGATCTCATGGACCAAGGCACAGACGCGCGTGAAATCCTCGAGAACAAACTACTGCCACTGCGCAGAGGATACATCGGTGTAGTCAACCGCAGTCAGAAGGACATCACAGGCAAGAAGGACATCCGCGCCGCACAGGAGGCCGAGCGAAGGTGCGTACGAGGCGTATATAGAGATATATATATATATATATAAAGATAAGAGCACGTAGTACATGTGCGTCTATTTCGGGTATACGGTGTATCATGTGAACATTAGGGTTATGGTACTGGGTTAGTAAGTGGTGCATATCGGAGTAGATATGACAGCTACATACGTTATATATCGAATTCACTCGGCATAGACAATGGTTTGATTCGATTGGATGTGTGCAATATTGTTGGTGACGTAAAGCTATATATCGATTTGTACTAACTCACACTTTATTTATTTCTATGCACGCATTCGGTACATTTCTTCATACATGGCAGGTTTTTCACAGGGGTTTTCCCCATTTGTGTGAAAAACTCGGGTTTTTTCCACGCGTTCCGATTAACTATCTCCGTACAACTCGTGTGAAATCCTAGAGTTTCTATTATACGCATCTCAATTACTATCTCACACGCATGGAACCTTGCGATAAACCCAGGTTTTTCTCCACGCACCCCGCGTACCGCCACCTGGCACAGAATATGGGAACGCCGAAACTACAGAAAGTGCTGAACCAACAGCTGACCAACCACATCAGAGACTCACTGCCACAGCTCAGATCCTCGCTCACAGGCCAAGTGATGCAGCTGGAGAAGGTGGGTAATTTCTATAAATAGACTGACCATTAATAGAACAGGGAGGTTGTGCCTGTTCACATCAGATAGACTACTGCCGCGCCTGGGGCCATCGCTCACAACACCAAGTTTTACGACTGGGAATGGTAGGTAGCTGTCTATAAATAGACGGTTTATAAATAGAACAGGTGGGGTGAATATATACGCGTCCGGGACTCTTTGCAAGCACTAGATCCTCCTGATCACGAGCGTTGATCCCACCACCACAACACACACGCGGGACACGCGTTTATTCGTACCCACCCCTACGCCCATAGCACAGCCACTCCCCATGCACAGCCAGTCATCATCCAGACAGACATGTAGAAGCATACACACGCCATGGCAACCTCTCGACTCACGAACATGTCACGCGTTACACGTTGTAACGCACAGGACTGCTCTGGATTCAAACACATGATGGGAGGACGCAATGCGTCGACTAAGCAACTCATGCAGCTGCTGCATCAGTTCAGTGACAAGTGGTGGAAGTCCATCGACGGCAGTGCGGATATGGTCTCCTTCGATGATCTCAGCGGTGGTGCCAGGATCAACCGAATCTTCTTCGAGGTGGGTAGATAGGAATATGCATGTGTATGTATATATATATATATATATACGTGTGTATATATATATATCATATGCCGGTGTGTGCCCCTTTCATGGCTTTGTGTAGTCTGAGATTGTGTCAGTGATCTGTCAGATGTATCCACAGGGGTTCACTACTGGAATACTCTTACCCTGTGTGTTTCGATGAAGTGTTCATATACACATATAACCATAGTCACATATTTCACCCTCTCTGAACCTGAAAGGTCGAGAAAATGGACTGTCCTGTGCCTCGTGGTTCGCCATTTGCCATTTGCGATATATTCGCATTTCTTCTGTCGCCAATTGCCCTTTATTATCACCGCTCAACCAACCCTTGTTGCTGTACCGAACTGTCCCATTCTCCAGCGTTTCCCGTACGAGCTCAGTAAACACGAATACGACGAACGCTTGCTGCGCAAAGAGATCTCATACGCCATCAAGAACATCCACGGTGAGTGTTTTATTTTTTAAATACGTTTATTTTTCGTAGATGTCGTTTATATACACTATAACCACGGTGGGTGTTTTATTGTTTAAATACGTTTATTGGCCGTAGATGTCGTTTATATACACTATAACCACGGTGGGTGTTTTATTGTTTGAATATGTTTATTGGCCGTAGATGTCGTTTATATACACTATAGCCACGGTGGTAAATGTCGTTTATATACACTATAGCCACGGTGGTAGATGTCGTTTATATCTTTGTCTGCTCATAGTGGAGGTCGGTTGGTTTATTGTTGAACACAGAGACGGTTCTGTAGAGGCGGCACCCGCGTACATATAACCTGTTACATTCACACCGTTAAAGTATGATACCGTTACTGTCGGGTGTTGGCGTGGACATAATTATTTAGTCATATCTTGAGGGAATAAAAGGCACGAGACAGGCTCGAATACGTAAGTTGTCTTTGCACTCGCCTGCATGTATGTGAGAAGTGATATGCATTGTCTTTGGGTGCGTTCTGGATATGACTGAGATGTGCCAGAAATCAATAGTTTCTACTATTGTTTTTACCTCAGCTCTCGATTCTGAATGCCTTTATGCAGTATGTACTTGGCCAACTTAATGTTATATATATTACAATCAACTTCACTTCATAATATAAGTACAACTTAATACACATGGCCTCAGCCCACTTGATAATAAAAGTATTATAATATGTGTATATATATATGTATATGTATATATATATATATATCTACATATATATATATATATTCATATATAATATATATATATGTATGTGTGTATGGATGTATGTATATATATATATATATATAATTCATGTAACTTAGCTAACTTAAGTATATCTTCGGCCCATTTAATACTCAGGTATCCGCTCAGGACTGTTCACCCCTGATCAAGCCTTTGAGACGATCTGCAAGAAACTGATAGGTATGCGTGTACATTCCTATCTACGTGTACATATTGGTGCGGATTTCTTATATTGGTAAGTATGTTGTATATGTTGCGCCGGAATATCCAGGGTCTGCCCACCCACATACGCAGTCGTATTTGTTGTCTGTTAGGTGAAAATAATTTGGGCTAAGAAATCTGAGCTGTTTTTCTATATCCGCATGTCTCAATTTGTTGTGGCCCGGAATCTTATGCACTCGCATCCGTTACTATGACTTGTACTTGCCACTAGTACTGAATATCAATATCTGCATTTGCGTCGACAATGTTCTGTGTGGAGATATGCGTAAACGAGCTGATACAAATACACTCACAGTCGCGCATACTATATATATATATATATATAGTTATATATATTCACGGCTATGGTTCGTGTTTTTGTATGTGGATACATGCATACGTATGCTCGGATTCGTACTCGTATATACGAAGTGTGTTTTTACATCTTGAGTGCATCTGCGAATATTCATCCATGCATGAATATACACATATACGTACACATAAACACACTACGCATAACTATGCACATCTCTACCAATACATGTGTGTGACATCTATCATCGTTCACTTATCCAGAACGTCTGCGTGCGCCGTCGCTGTTCTGTGCGGAGATGTGCATGACTGAGCTCATGGCCCTGACTGATTACTGCGGCGAAGAACTGAGCCGATTCCCGCGTCTAAGAGGTATATTATATTTAGTATCATTATGTTTTTATATATTATATATTATTGTCTTATTATATTGTTATATTATTATATCATTATATTGGGGTGTGGACAAGTGTACAATTACACCTGGTTGTGTATATACGTGCATTTTGAGTTTGTAGAATTGTATATACACACTTGTCAGTGGTGTGGTTGATCTACGACGCTTATTTGTATGCTTGTGTATAGGAACATCTGCTATGTAAGCATCCGCCTGTTTGCAGATATCGTCTACAGCAGAGTGTGTGCTTCTTCTCGTCTGTTGTGTTCATACTCTCCAACACTCACTGACTAAGTGTGCATAATCACAATACAAATACGTAAACCATAAACCCTAATAACCTTACAAATACGTGAACGAAAGCACTGGCACAGATACCACAGCACACAAATGCACAAACGCAAGCACATACAAATATACATCCACACATCCAAATATCGTTCCCTACACCCCTAAACTAAAAAACCCCTCTCTAAATATTGTACCAAGTTTAAGTATACTTATAATGACACATGCCTTCACACCTACTCGTGTACTTTAATAACACACACCTTCACATGTGAGATTAACTACACATGCATCATTTTGTACCTGCACGCCATCCACGTACATCTTGCATACGTCGATATATATATATATATACATGTGCCTGTGTGTGTATGTATGTAGGTATGTAGATATATAAGCACGTACTTTCTACTATAACCACGAACAAACATCGTATGTATACACTGGTTGGATTAAGACGCACACTTTTGCGCACCTATTTCCACACAAACACACATATATATATGCAACGTCAAATGCTTCAATCACACACTTTTAAATATATAACTATAAACCTACACTGTTCATTATATCCACTCACTCACTCACTCACGAATCCACCCGCACGCCCTCACAACGGCAGAGGAGGTGAACACGTTGGTGGTACAATACATCAACGAAGCACACGCCAAGACAGAGGATCAGATAGATCTGTTTATCAACACAGAGTTATCATACATGAACACCAACCACCCCGACTTCATTGGCTTCCAGAACGCCAGTGCTGCTGCCGAGTCAGGTCTGTAGTCTGATTGATTATATGTATATATGTATAAATATATATATATATATATACGTCTGTTATATATATATATATATATACGTATAGATGCAGATATATGTAAACGCAAACTTCTATCCAGAGGATATGTCACGTGGCTCTAATGCAGTGTGCTGCCATGCTATGGCAACAGCTGATGGCAAGGTTGGAGGGTGTGGGTAGTATATATGTCAGGGCAAAGTGGGAACACCATCAACTCCCCGTTTATGGTGACTTCATGGTATGTTTAGACGCTTAAAACCCTAAACCCTAAATACATGTATTGACTTATTGAGTCTTATTTTTAGACCTTATGTCGTGTTGTCGTATTGTGTCCGAATGTCTTGGTTGTCTTCTGTGGGTCTGAGTCTGCATGGTTTTATGCGATTATGCGCGTGTATGGTTATCAGTTAGTCGTGAGATTCAGCTGTGTGATATGCCCTCGTAAGCCTGAAGTGAATGTGGTGGCACGGTAATAGGCGTGACACCATTTATATATATATATATATGTATTCTCCTCCCCCGCACAATCACCGATGCCTAGTCTTCACAGAACCACGTGGTGTGCAATGTATTGACATCACACAATGTGACTTTACTTTAGGAAGCAAAACGGCTGGGCCGAAGAGAAGGACACCGGTCGGCAATCAAGTGATCCGAAAGGTACGCTTATACCTTGTGCGAATACTTGATCTTGTGTACACTTATGTATGAGTGTTTCTACATAAGTGCTGTATGCATGTACCTGTACTTCTGTGCACATACGTACGAGTGTTTTTCATATGTATATATGAGTGAGAATGGTGTTCTTACCCTCGTGCAACTACACGCAGTCGTGTGTGTGTGTATGAGAATGGTGTTCTCACCCTCGTTCAACTACACGCAGTCGTGTGTGTGTGTATGAGAATGGTGTTCTTACCCTCGTTCAACTACACGCAGTCGTGTGTGTGTATGAGAATGGTGTTCTTACCCTCGTTCAACGACACTCAGTCGTGTGTGCATTTCTGCGAGTGATTTCTTCTGTCCCGCATACCGCAATTTTGTGTTGTGCATTGGTGTGCTATACTAATACACATACCGATCACAAGATAGGCAGGCATACATAGTGCACTATACCTGAGATCCGATTGTAATGTATCATAAGGTGTAGTTGTACAGCTAAATGCTACCATGTTTCATCTTGCATACATCTCACATTTATTTTGATCAATTTTTATTTTTTATTAATCTGTTGCATACATCTCACATGATCTATTTTGATTTATTTATATTTGTTATTTTTCTGTGGCATACATCTCACATGATCTATTTTGATCAACTTGTTATTGTTATTTTCTGCTGCAGGGATGGTGTGGAACGCCCAGCGGATACACCGGCAGTCACAAGGAAATGTGGTTTGTGCTGCAATCGGAGACCTTGGCCTGGTATAAGGTACATGTATATATATATATTATGTATGTATGTATGTGTGTATGATGTATATATATATATTAGGTGAATTTAGATAATGTATATAATGTATATATTCTCAGTGTTTGTACACATACTACAGTTCGAGGCTTTGGTGTGGTGTGGGGAATGCGCCTTGTTTGCATCTGCACAGCCTCTCCCTACAACACCCGTTCCACTCGAGGAATTAGACTACACGCTCATACACACACGTACATACACGCATTGGCACACACCAACTATTGCAGTGATACGCATGTATGGTAAGCGTGCACCCATACCTATTTGACTGAGGGCATATGAGTGTTGAGGATAACTTGCTAGTACACTCTCGTCCACGACGACCTCACTCCCGACAACACGGGAGAACAGGGAGAAGGAGCCGTACCAATCAGGGGTATACCTGGAAGAGTTAACGTCTCAAACTACGATGCTTCAAGCGTGTGTGTACATAGGGGGGATCGCACTGGCAGAGGGTAGTGTGGGTCTAGATAAACATACAAACCATCATCCTATTAACGTTGTTCATCATCCGTTTAACACTATTCATCATCCCATAAACGTTATTCTTCATCCGTTTAACGTTGTTCATCCTGTTAACGTTGTTCATCATTCTTTTAAAGTTTTTCTTCAACTTTTTAACGCTATTCATCATTCTTTTAACGTTACAGGATGAAAGTGAGAAGAAGCAATACCAATTGATCCGATTAGACGGATGCCGCACCCGAGATATCGAGAAGGGCACTTTTGGTCGACACAAGTACATGTTTGAGCTATACCACCCAGAGCTCAAGTACTTATACAAAGGTACGGACCTTACACAAAACCGTGTGTATGTATGGTACCTCTCTCAGAGTGTATAGTAGATTAGTGTTGCTGATGAATACACGTGGTTAACAAAAGAGTGTGTATATGCGACTGTGTATAAGCGACTGTGTATATGCGACTGTGTATACGCGACTGTGTATATGCGACTGTGTATATGCGACTGTGTATATGCGCGTGTATACATGCGACTGTGTATACGCGAGTTTGTATACGCGACTGTGTATATGAGGATGTGTATATGCGAGTGTATATGCGACTGCGTATATGCGACTGTGTATATGCGCGTGTATACGCGACTGTGTATATGCGACTGTGTATTCGCGAGTTTGTATATGCTCGTGTATACATGCGACTGTGTATACGCGACTGTGTATATGCGATTGTGTATATGCGACTGTGTATATGAGAATGTGTATATGCGACTGTGTATTTGCGACTGTGTATATGCGACTGTGTATATGCGACTGTGTATATGCGCTTGTATACATGCAAGTGTGTATACGCGAGTGTTTATATGCGCGTGTGTATATGCGACTGTGCCATGGTGCATTGTGTTTATATACCCCCTCACCTGAGCTCTCTGGGGTTGTTGATCAGCCTACCTTCGTTCCGTATGACTTTACTTTATCGCTGTATATAGACCCACAGCTGCAATTAACACTAACCCGTATGCGCTGCTAGACCAACGTCCCTCTGTGTGGGCTGAATGCTGTATGACAGTTGCGTTAAAGTATCCGATGCACGTGACCTGTGTGTGTGTTTGCCTCATAAGATTAGACACGGGCAGCTGTGAGTGTTTGTGGGAGTGGGTGTGGGTGTGTCTTCATGTTATGGCGGGAAAGTGTGTCGGACGGAGTTGCGTACTGACAATGATACCGTGCGGATAGTCAGCTATGTACAACTATAGTAGGGCACGACCGGTTCGATGCGCAATAGGGTCCGGATTTCCGTGTCCGAATTGATTTTGCGGATAGTTATTACAATCTACGTATAATTGATATATATATAGTCATATAGTGCTGATAACTGATGAAATTCTGTTCTAAAACACACAGACAACAAATCGCTGGTACTGAGTACGGCATCTGACGAAGCGTTAGATACGTGGAAGGCTGCCTTCTTACGCGCCGGAGTATTCCCGGACAAGGCCGTGCACGAAGATGAGGAAGAAGTGGTATGTGAACTTGGATATATATATATATCAACGTGTGTGTATGTGTGTGAGAGAGAGAGTGTAATTTGTCTGTGCGTGCGTATCTGTGTGTCTGCTGTCTATGTCTGCGTGTGTATGTGTGGAAGGATCATATCCCTGAAACGATTACGCCTACGGAGATCAGAGGCTGTGTGACCTTTGTGCTAATCGTGGCATTTGTTGTTTCGTATGAAACAGGAAGAAACAGAGGAGATGCAGCCCAACACCGACCCCATGTTGGAGAGACAGGTGGAGACCATCCGTAACCTGGTGGATTCCTATATGGCTATCATTGGTATGTATGTATGTATGTATGTATGAATTTAGGTGGGTAGGTAGGTGTAATATATGTGATTGGTAGCTATGGATCTATTATTAGTTCGTATATGACTATCATTGATATGTATGAATTATGATAGTTACGTAGCTATAACACGTTTGATTGGTAGCTATGGATCTATTATTAGATCTGGAATGGCATAACAGACTGATGTCGGATTGATGCTGGAGAGAAAGGTGGAGATACTCTGTAACCTGATATGTTCGTTCATGACTAGCTTTGGGTGCGTATGTGTATGTATTGATTTATGATATGTAATTAGTTCTACCGTTTGACTGGTAGGGATATCTATTCTTAGACCAATGCTATATACGGCCTAATACGGATTTGTCGAAGAGAATCAATGGACTGCACATGTAGCTTGGCGAATTCGTACCTGACCAGTACTGGTACGTATATATATTGACCACGTCTATAGGTGTATGCATGACCGGTAGGTATATTCTATTTATAGATTTCTGGATCTATTGTATGTTTGCCACACGGTGTAGGTATCAACATCCGAGATATGATCCCGAAGTGCGTTGCCCGACTGATGGTGCAGAAGGTCAAGATCGACATCGAGGAGGAACTCGTGGCTGGGTGTGTAGTCGCGTAGTAGTTTTAATAGCTGTGAGTATACTTGTAGGGTTGTAGGGTTTGAAGTGGGGGGTACTTCATAGCCTCCTGGATAGGAGGGCTATGTAGGCGGCTTGTGAGTATGTCTTTAGATAGAGTCTGTGTATATAGTGTGACAATCTCACTCGCGTATGTGTTTATTTTTGTAACCATATTCGGTGTAGGTATACGCCTGTGGGTAGTGACATGCTCATGCATGTACAGTGTGGGTATGTATGTGTTCTGGGTGTCTATTTTAGTATCCGTATTCCATGTAGATATACGCCTGTGGGTAGAGATACACTTATGCATATATAGCGTGCGTGTGTATATACACTCCATGTGTGTCTTATCGTGTAACATATTTAGTATAGGGTTCTATGCACCTATGAGATGGCGATCCAGTGTTCTGGTTGGTTGGGATGCTCTTGTGTACACCCATCTATAGTGTCTGTAGGTAGTTACAGTGTGGGTTTGCATATATCGTGTTTGTCTATGCACGCACTCACACAGTTTATTTACTCGATATCATATCCCGACTTACTTATTCACCAACTCCCCCTATGCGCACATAAGGCTGTTCAAAGCCGGGTCGCCAAACGGTCTGTAGGCGGAGAGTGAGCCTGAAAAGGCACAGGATCATATATATCTATATTATATATTTATATATATAAATATATATATGTGCGTGTATATTTATATATACTTATATATATATATATATATATATATATATTGCCCGTATGGCCTTCCCTGAACAGTCCACATCAGCAAGTACGCCTCATACTTATCCATGTCGATCCTTCACCTACCCATCTCTCTCGCGCGCTCGCTCATATGCGCACACAAGGCTGTTCAATGCCGGGTCACCAGATGACCTGTTAGAGGAGAGTGAGTCTGAGAAAGCTCGGCGCGAGGATATGCTGAACATGTTAAGCATGGCTAAGAAGGCCCTCAAGATCATCGGCGATGTGAACGTTACCACCAAGTACGAAAACGCACCCCCGCCCATCTCAGAGGAGCGAGATATACTTGCACAGGTATGTGTGTCTGTATGCTGGTGTGGATTTGTATGTATGTGTATGTAGAAGTGTGTGTGTAGGTGTATTTGCACGTATAGTTAATATGTATATATGTTTGTTTGTACAGGTATGTCTGTCTGTATTGAGATGTAAATTTGTTTGCATGTGTATGTAGAAGTATGATTTATATGCATATGTGTATGTAGAAGTATGATTTATATGCATATGTGTATGTAGAAGTATGATTTATATGCATATGTGTATGTAGAGGTACATGTGTAGGTTATTTGTATGTATAATTAGTAAGTATGTGTAGGTGTGTGTGCTGTTGTCTGGATATGAGTGTGTGTTTTTCTGTACGCACCTTGCACAGATGTGTGTATACATGTGAAATGGCTGTTTTGTGAATGTGCACTCATGTGAACAGCTGTTTTACGTATATGTTACCTTTGTATATTTGTCGTTATTAACTAAGTACTCTTTTCCTAGGAACGGTGCAGCAATGAAGTCAGGCTCAGAAGCAGTGCATATTTCAATAGCAATACCGTACACACACACACACTGTGTACTGCTTATGCTTCAATAGCAATACCGTACACACACACAAACTGTTTACTGTTTATGTTTCAATAGCCATTCCGTACATACACACTGTTTCTCGCATCCATGGTCGCATTGTAGAAGGTTAGCGGCGTAATTTAGATAGTGCAAACGAGTACCTAGCCAGCCCATATGACACTAGGTATGATTTTGCACCACTTCCAAGTACCCTATCGGCGGATATCCGTGTTAGTGTGAATAGTGCTAACTAATTGCCTGTTACATATAAGTAGATATCCGTATTAGTTTGAATAGTGCTAACTAATTCCCTGCCCCATATTTCTCCCCAATGGTCTTATTGTAGAAGGCACATCGATCAGCCAGTGACAGGCGTGCACCAGCACCTCATAGAGCCCCCGCACAAAGCATTGGGGCCGGAGGTCCGCCTCCCCGTCCAGGTACAGTCCAAACATATATGCATGTGTGTGTAGTGTGTGTGTGTTGATATTATTATGGAGCCTACTAATGGGGCACAAGTACAGTGCAAACAACTAGACACGTGTGTGGATGTGGATAGCGTGTGTTTTACGTGCTGATTCTGTCCAAGTACAGTACACAGTAATAGAAGTGTATTTATGTATGCAGATGTCCAGGTACAGTAGATACAATCAAATCTATAATATATATATGAATATATATATATATATTTATATATCTTTAATCGCCAACCGCGTGTGTACTATAAGCCTTTATACAGAAATGGTCTATCTACCTGCCAATAAAAAGTTCAAAGTGAACCCACTTTCGTATCAAACACTACAAGTTCCGGCATTCTCCCTACGCTTGACCATTCATTACTTCTTACCACCACACCACAGCACGGAAGCATTCGTTCCTACACTGTGAGCCTTCACTCAGTCCAACAGTTCTCCCACACACACTTATCGGCTTCATCATGTAGTCCATCTTGGTATCGGCTCATATGACACTGCAGAAACCCGACACGACGCACAAGCTACTGATTCATCTGCTTATCTTATATGCTTATTTTCTCACGTGACGGAACAGGCGCATCTCCTCAGCCTGGCGCAGGTCGCCCTCCGCCCAGAAGTGCGGGACCCACCGCCGGTGGTGGTAGACCCGCACTACCTCCACGCAAGTAGAGAGAGAGACATTCGTACTATCTCCGATTTAATAATAAATGTTCCTGTCAATCGAGTACACTTGTGGAAGCGGAGTCTGGCTATTTTGCAATCGTATTAGTTTTTTGGGGGTATTATTTTTTCGATCATACTGATCGAGCAAACAGGTACACATAACCGCATATGTAGCTTGTAAGCACCGATATCGAACCCATAATATATTTATATATATGTATATATGTATATATGTATATATTTATATATATATATATATATGTGTGTGTGTGTGTGTGTGTCTGCGTGTGTCTGCGTGTACATTCCAAATGTGAACAATTTAGCTTCTTTCATATATCATGGTTTGTGTAGTTCCTATTTATGTTTATTGATTCACCGTCTGTTCTGAAACTGATCCAAGTCTGGCATACTATACCCATTTTGCTGGTATAGTCGTATGTTCTCTTGCTTCAAAGACCAATCGGCACAGGCCCGAGTATGCGGAGGTGCGGTATACTCGTATACCCGAATCGCGAGTGTGATAGCGAAAATAAACCATTCTCGGAAGTGGACATTCTCCATCAGTCCCTCCTGTCTGGCCGACCAAAACATGAGCCGCATCCATACCACGCAGTCTTTCAGTTGAAATGAGTTGCCCATGTCTTCGGCTGCGCGCTTGTGGCTGTACCAGGAGCGGTGATGAGCCATTTGTCGTGCATACGTTGGACGATGGTTGCTCCATACACCGATGTCCCCCATTTTATCGGCTAACCATAGTCCTAGACTGCAGTGCGAAAACAGCTCTTGAAGTTAGTATCAAACACAGCAAGAATGTAAAAAAGGATGTACAACGAAAGGCTGCATGATTTGATATTACTCTATTGTGTGATATTGAGGTCACCTGTTCCGCATACCTGTTTAATTAAGTGATATTATGTGACCCTGGTACCTACAGGGAAGCCCTACTGTAGGCGGACAAATTGCCTTGCGTCCTCAAAGCGTTCAAAAGCAATAACATGATGTGAACAAACTCCTACCGTTCCCCGTGCGGATCGTTGTGATTCATAATAAAAGTATCCAGTAGTTTATCCTTGAAGGCGTGTTCGTAGAAGCGCGTGACCATCTTGACCATCGCCTCCTTGCCGCCGATCTCTTGTAGGAGGTAACTAGTGCTTGTTCTGTCCATGGTCATCTGTGGCCGTTGTGAGCCGACCTGACTCCGGGATCTCGCCTGGACCTGTGCCACTAGATCCGTACAGTTGGACTTGTTCTTTGTACTCGATATGTATGGAGGTGCGTCAGCGGAGACGCTTTGAGTCTGGTCAGAAGTTTCGTTTGCTGTCGATTCCGGTGATGCAACCACGGTATCCGTTGATCCTTTCTCCATTTTATTCAGATGGGCAACGGGACACCTCGAAGCTGATTGTTGGTGTGTATCATTTGTGGCACTGCTATGCATGTCTTTGATCCCGGTGTTTGCACTATCGTTGTGGCTCTTCGAACGGAAGAAGGTGCCGGATTTGAGAAGGCTGGATATACCCATATTTGTGTTGTGTCAGGCTACGAACACAACTCGTTTGGATGGTGTTGTTGAGAAAATTTGAAGCTTAGGTTGAGATTCAAAGATGACTATGTGTTTACAAAGATTGAAAAAGTGCTGGATGTTGATTACAAGTATTTCTTTATATAGTCGGCATGAGTGCAAAATTCCAAGACTTTTTAAATTATTTTGTACATACGACTAAGCAGATGAAAGTGTTCAAATCTCAGCCAATTAAGGATGGACAATGAGACGTTGTAGCTGCTAGTGCAAAATGCAGTCGAGAAAGCAAGATTCACGGACTTCAAATGGAATGTTCTACACTTTGAAGACCACTTTAGTTGTTAGTAGCAACTAAATAGCAACTATTATGTATGAATGCCTTGCACAACAATCATACATTCGCTCGATATATTAAGCATATATACATTCTTGATGCTGCCTTACCACTGAGATGCGACCAATCAAAAATTAGTAAATTTGAACTTTTGTTCATATCAGAACAGAGTACAAATGTGAACTCCCTCCCACTCTCAGACTCAGAGTCTCTCACTCTCTCAGTCTGTCGAGTGTTGACTGTTGACTCTGCTGGGCTGGTATGAGGTCGACGACGTGTCGCCAAAAAAAATGTAAAAGACGGTCGCGACATGTCGTTTACTACTATGTCGGCCTACCTCTCGACAACATGTCTTGCAAGTCGCTACAGGTGCCCATACCAGTCCACTATATAAGAGGTTTAGGTGCACCTTCTCAGGTCCACTATGACCTATAGGACTAGTCCTAATAATTGGGGTGTATTTTTTTCTTCTTTTTTTCTGGGTCCTTCGTGACAGTGTCAGTTTGACCGATTTTCACATTTGACAAATAACAACTGACACAGTGACCGTTGGGCGTTGGAATCTCACTGTCTCAGTGTCTCACGCACTCGGCAATGTAGTCTCAGACTCCCACAGACTCACAAGTCACAACTGTACAATAACAAGTTATCAACAAAATAGACATGGTATACGCGTGAATTCGCCGTAAGCCCGTAATTAATTATATATTATATATACATACACATATTGTTTATATAAAATAATCTATAATCAATTATATTATATTATATATATATGTACAGACATATATTTTATATATAATAAATTTATATATAATCAATAATCAATTATATTATATTATATATTCTATAATCAATTATATTATAATATATATTCTATAATCTATTATATTATATTATATTTATTCATTCATAAATTATATATATAATATAATCTATAATCGATTATATTATAAAACCTCAAAGACAATTGAGGTGCATTTCCGATCGGATTTCGCCAGGCAGAATAAAAAAGGTGCATTTCGTTGTTTTGACAATAGGTGCAGACCAATTTTGGACAACACTATACCATTGGAGGATTTTATATAAAAGGGATTGTGATGGATCCGTTTTGATTTTTTCAAAACAAAATAGGTGCATGTTGTCTTTTGACCAAACGACATGTCGCGACGATTGTCGCGATGTGTCGGCATCATAATGATGTAAAAGACGGTCGCGACGTGTCGTCACAGGTAAAAGACATGTCGTTTACCAACCCAGTGTCTCTGGCATGAGTGTCAACTGTCACATCACAAGTGTCAATTGTCGAAGTGCACAAGTCATAACTCTTTCTGAAATCTGAACTATTGCTCAGTGAACAACTGAACAGTGAACACTTAACAGTTGAACACACGAACACTGCTGTTCCAGTGTTCCTGAACAGTGAGCTGTGATGAGTGAACAGAAGTTGTTGAAGTCATTATTTTTTTTGTTTTTGTTTTTTTAAAGCATTTGTTACAGCCAACCATGGACCAATGGTTGACAAGGTCGCGGGTATTTGTTTTTAGAAAAACAAATACCCATAAAAATTTATAAATATGTATTATGTATAAATAAATACATACCACCCGAGTCATACGTGACACGAAAGGTTGTGTTGCCCGGGACCCTGGCCTATGTATTTTTTATTAAAAAACAAATACCGTCTGGGATTCCCAGGTGGGCCAGGACTGAGGACTCCCAGGGGCCAGGAGACCAGGTCCCAGAGGGGACAGAGTCCAGACGCCAGAGTGGGATAGTCCACTTTAACAGAAGGGACCTGTGTGAGATAGATAAATATGTATTTAGTTGATTCCCAGCTTCATATCGCTAGTTTGACTATATACGTTCTGCAGGTTCGAGTATATAGTACTCGCCCCTGTTGCTCGTCTACTACTACACCGTGTTCCTGATACGTAAATCAACACAATGTATACCCGATTTATAAAACTAAATTAGGTCACGTACACGCGATCTCCACCATGTACTGAGAAATAGAGCAGCCGTACTTCTATTTTAAACAGACAACTCAGGCGTTACTCGTTGACAGGCCTGCAACATAGAATCAGTCTAGTTATGCATTGTTTTCCCGATGCAGACATTAGTACCAGCATATGCACATGCAATCTTTAAAATATACTGAGAACAGGACATCTCTCGTTGACAGGCCTGCAACATACAATCAGTCTAGTTATGCATTGTTTTCCCGATGCAGACATTAGTACCAGCATACGCACATGCAATCTTTAGAATATACCAGACCAGCCCCGCTTGCATTGCTGACTAGACGAGTCACACTTCACTTGTCCAGATACCTAGAATATAAATAGAGCTTACATACTGCGCGCAGACTTTTGGAATGCTTTTCACCATACAGCTAGCCTGCCAACTACTTATACTGATTTTGTATAAACCCTGTACACGGTGACCGACAGAAAGACGTCACTTATTTTGAAAGCTTCCAGTAATGCTGGCATTTGCCAATACCGTAGAGCTAGCATATTTTTGATACTTTTGGACATCGATCAATGTGCGGGAGAGTTTATGGCGATTCTGGTAAAACTCTGTGTACATGGAACGGATGGAGGGCTTCATCTGTGACCAAACATGAACTACTGCACTGTACATTGAAGGCATATCTGCGAAGACTGGCTATGGGTGTTGATTAATATATGTATACAAACATTCCGATTTGTTATTTAGATTACATCCGTATTGTATAATGGGTGATATAGACACGTCTAATATATTGACTTGTACACTTCTGATTGTGCATCAAGGTGCATATGACTTCAAAATCAATATATGTACATATCTACACGGAACTATATCATGCTATAGTCTATTTGTGTGTGTATACTAATTTTATTGATCTTTTACATACATATGTATACCTATTAATTCGGAGGAAAGAAGATGTACACATATCGATAAGCCGTGTGTGCAATGACTACAACAAATAAAGTCATTTAGTACGGATACACATACTTGTGTCTCACTCATAGCATCGTATAAAATAGTGAAGAACCAATACAGTCTTTATCATATTGTATTAATACTTTTTCAATATTATTTATATGTAAAGAATCGTTTACGATCGTTTCCTAGTTGTTGTTCCACCCCCGGCTTACTTCAGGCAAGCGCCAGCGGCGAAAGTTCTTCTATAGCGTAAACCACTCAGGAATGATGCGGATTGGTAGACGGTCACCTCGACGGTGGACTTCCCAAAAATTGCCAAAATTCGCATATTCACCTATCGAACATATACATATACATATAGTATCTTGGTGTGTGTAAGTGTGTACGTATGAGGTTACCACGCTCATATTCTGTGAGTGCCCACTATACTGCCTCGATTCAGTCTTCGCGCTTCCCAGACTGATGGATTCTGGTGCGCAGATTTATGCCAAAGAATGTGAGCTTGAATCAGTCCTCGATCTTTCAAGACAAGTGACCTATTTCAGTGTTCAGGCTTACCACACTTGTACGGTGGTATATATATATATATATATATATATGTATGTATGTAATGTATGTATGTATGATGTATATATATACATACATACATATATGTATATATATATATATATATATATATATACTCCCACCTGTATGCACGCAGTAAGGTTTTTGCGTACTCCGTCTCTCGTACTATCGCAAATGTGCACGCTCGCTTGTATGAATATGGCTTGTATACGTGTCTGGTAGTAGATGCCTATCCTATGCATCGCCCAATAAGGACGTGTCCATATACTCTATGCTCGCGCATGATTGTTTAAACTACACGCACCATATCCACAGTCAGTAGCTAAGTCTGCTGTGTGTCGCTGTGGGTGCACTGACATGCGGTCCAGAGCATCCGCAATTTGTTTCAAGTTTGTATACGATACAGTGCTGTATATTGCACATTTGCACATACTAGAGATTGAACTAAAATGTGTCTATGTACTAGCAAACAATACTTTAATTCAACGTGCAAACCTTGTGATACATCAAAATTCTATACTATTACTTCGTCGTGAGTGGTATGGATTCGAGTGTAAATCTCGTGACGAGTATTTCAAACAAACGCCACATTGCCCGGACCCTGACTAAATGCGCTTAGTTATGTCAGCAAGACTATTGTAGCTGCCTTCATATTCGGTTTGCTTCCACGTATATAAAATAGGTATAGTGGTAGATATTACTGCGCTCGTATTCGGTTGTGTACACATGAGTGTATATGATTATAGATTGACACATGCTGGATGTCCAGTAAAGAAGCTCTCTGTTTCAGGGTGTTGGTTTTCTCACGAGTGCTCCTGACGCTTCCGATTCTGTCCGTACTATTCCGATGTATACTTCTCTGTAAATAAGAAATTGCGTTTGCATCAAGTGAGCCTATATCCATATATTACTAATACTTGTTTTGTTATACGCTATATCCATATATTCTGATACTTGTTTTGTTATACGTTATATCCATATAATAACTTGTTTTGTTATACGCTATATCCATATAATACTGATACTTGTTTTGTTATACGCTATATCCATATTTTACTGATACTTGTTTTGTTATACGCTATATCCATATATTCCTGATATTTGTTTTGTTATACACCATATCCATATATTACTGATACTTGTTTTGTTATACGCTATATCCTTATATTACTGATACTTGTTTTGTTATACGCTATATCCATATATTACTGATACTTGTTTTGTTATACGCTATATCCATATATTACTGATACTTGTTTTGTTGTACGCTATATTCATATATTACTGATACTTATGTTGCCATACGCTGCACCATGTTGATATCTGTATCTGTAGGTAACTCGCTCTCATTAGTGTACTATGCGCGTGATATAGGATCCTTTATAAAAAACCTCGTGCGTATCGTAAAAGCTTAGACGCAGTAAACCTGAATAGTAAAATATTTCAAATTGATTGGTAACTGTGCATGTAAGCACTGTCTGTCTATATTGCATATGCATGCGTGTGTGTGTTAAGAATTCCTGCATGATTGGTGTGGATTCGGTCTTCGTGACATTTTACTGTGTGGCGTGTGCGTGGTTTATCTTTGCTCTAGCATCTACAATTGTTCTAACGCTTTGCAACGTGTGTCTGCTCTTCATTGTATGAGTGAGTAACAATTGTGAGCTATCCGCGATTTTATATACTTCGTTACTAGAGTTGATATCTGTAAAATCCGGTATTAGTACAATCTGAATGTTACAAGTGCGCACATCCTCACATAACTCGCGTTCTGTGGTCTCTGTATAAATGCCTGTGTTGAAGGTGTGTTAGGTGGGGAGTTATGTGAATGTTACTATCAGCGGTGGTGGAGAGGGTGGGTGATAATA